GCGCTCGGCATATGGGAACTTAAGTAAGATCCATTCTAGGAGTTTCCGTAGCTCTTTTTTAGGCAAATTACTGTTATGGCTATGTAATAAGTGGTTAAGTTGCTTATAGAGATCCCGATCAGATGTAGAGTGGGATTGTCCCATTTTTAAACCAGTGTGGCTCACCTCGGTGTCGCAGGAGTGGGATCCTCTGTCAGGTTCCGACGTTTACTGCAGTCGGTGCTGAGGGCTCACCGCGGGGTTTCTTCAGAGCTTCAGCGCGGGCAGTGCTAAGCAGTGCTCGCCTGTGCTTTGTGTACGTGGCCACGTGGCCCGGCAAGTCTCGTCACAAAGCCTTGGGTCGCCGCGGAATCGCGGCGATCGCCTGTGCTTGGAGAATAACGGCCAGAAATCCTAGAAGGGCTCTAAAAACTCGCTACTATGTAACGAGTCGCTGAGCTGTAGGATGGCTTCGGGACTTTTTAAAGAGCTCCGGTTCGTCACTGCCTAGCAGCAAAATGCCGTGCTCGCGACAGCGATGGCGAGGAAATACCTGGTTATTTAGTTAGTGTCCATGGAAAGGTGTCCTACAGGTAGAAAAGCTGGAAAGCATCCAAACGGGTGCAGTTGCAGGTGACCGTGGGTTCGTATTCGAAGATGGGCGCCAGTCTGTAACGACGTATATTTGTATTCCATGGACAGATTCAAGCGAGATCTCTTTGGTTGCTCTTGGGGGATGAAGTTTATTCAGGACGCAGAGAGGCTCTGCCTTGAGCTGCCAGACACAGCACGTGGCTGGGCCTCGGGTGATGGGGGAGGGGAGAGACAAAGAGGGAGCAGGGACTCCCGGAGGACTCTCCAGGAGGAGAAGGGAAGATCCAAGAGAACGTCCAGCCCCCCAGAGAGCCTTTATCAAAGGGGGCTCCAGGGTGGGCTGGAACAGGACCTGGGCCAATGGGGTCACAGACACCTGATGGTTCAGGGGAGGGTTACAGATGTGGGGTGAACCATACATTCTGGGGGGTGAGATGGAACAGTCCATTTGGCCTTTGGACCCCGCTGTAGGTGAGGGTAACTGTCCAGCCAGTAGGGGGCGTTATATTCGTCCTGGCTGTACTACTGTGGTTCTTAATCATATTTATCTACCCTTCCCAACACCAATCTTCAGTCGCTGCCAGGATGATCAGCTCCCAGGTGTTCCAGTATCTCCTTTTGGGACAGCCCATCTCCAGACTAGCCACATGTATTAATTGTAAATGAGGCATTGTCCAAAAAAAACCTGGCTCTGGTGTAAACAAATATGTGTGTGTGTGTGTGGGGTGGGGGGGCAGCTTACAGTGCTGGTATGTGTATTGTGTAATAACTAAATATTATACATGCCAAATCATATTTGCCTTGATTCAATACAACAATATTTCATTGGAGTAAATTATAATCATACATCTCACCCCCCACTCCCAATTGTTCCCACCAGACAGCCTGGGCTGTCTAGACAGGTAGAAAGAAGGCGTGTGTGGTATTCACATATCCTTTGAACAGTGAGAGACACAGGCTTTCCCAGGAACATCCTGGGGAAGGCTGTGAGAAAGCTCAGAGAAAGAAGAAAAACAATTATCTCAATTTGCTGCATCTGATTGTTTGGCACATGTGGAATGTGATATGGAGATTGTTTACCAAAGAGGGATTTCTTCATTGGACTCTGGTGATGGTGTTTTGATTTCATTTGACCAACTGGAGCCACTCTATGTTGGACTGTCTCTAAGGGTCACGGGTTTCTCTTCAGTATAGCAGTAGTATAGTTTTTAGTATAGTGTAATATAGGACAGCTTAATAAAGCTTTTGTTCAGCCTTCTGCAAACATGGAGTCAATGCACGTCATTCCCTGCAGTGGAGGTCCACCACAATAGGTATCAACATATACCCCTTGCATGGGAGAGTTAGGAATGGAAAAGCTTGTTGCTGGGGGGACACGGCATGACAACACCTGACCTTCAAACGCAGCTACAAGAAATAAATTCCACCAATAAACGGCAAAGAAGGGTTGACTGACAGACTTTGGGAGGGCCCAGGGGTGGCTGATGCACCCTCCAGGAATGTAAAAGGTGAAGCATCAGTCTTGAAGATGAGGCAGCCACCTGGCAGGTAGCAGCCATGGGGCAGGGGGCCTTCCCAGGCCTGTTCTTCCTTATTAGTCCTTCTCTTATGTTTTTGTAAATGTTTAATAAACGTTTTAAAACTTTTAAAGTGTGCAGTTGTTTCTCACAAAACCCAGTCCTAAGGTGGGATGGTTGTGTTACTCCTGACAGGAATGGGCTCCCTGCAGTTCGAGCTGTTCTGCAGCCTGTGCTTTTCCATACCCTGCTTTGCTCTTCAGGTGGCAGATGGCTTGGGCAGGTCACTCCAGACACCTCGAGAGTGCCAGGGCATGCCCAACCCCTAAAGCTCTCACAGAGCTGTGCTTGACTCCAAATTAGGTAAGCATGAAACGGATTTTAAAGACTGTAGCACATCTGCAGATTCAAGGGATAGTAAAGCCAGTGCTGCACTCTGAGAACTAAGTCCACAGTCTGAGTTGTTGATGTCATTTAACTAATTTGCAGCTCATTATTGTGATGATGATGATAGTAGCATAGAACATTTCCCTTTTTTTTTTCCTCCCCCAAATAAAAAGGTGCCATTCAGCTTCTGGAGAAGAGAACTCTCAAAGGTGCAGTTTGGCAGTCATGGAGGCAGAGGTGGGGGAGAGACAGATATGCCCTGGAGGGATGCTCTGATGGGCTCCAGCATTTAAACAAGCTACTTTGATACATAGACTGGGTTATTTTCAGTACTAAATGGCTGCATTTAATGGTTTTCCAGGCCTTATGCTGGCCAGAAAGTTTTTAAAGCCCATGGGAGTTTAGCCTCCATGAGAAAGGCAGCATCAGTTCCTGTGCCAGGTGAGACATAACGTTCAAAAGCTCAGCTTCTGTTTAGAGAAGCCACCAGCCTAATGTAAGCAAGGCCAGAAAGCTTCTCCAGTCCTGCTGAGCGCGTGTGGCAGAGCTGTTGTGTTTTACAGCAGCTCCATGGCAGCACAGCAGCTGCAGCAGAGGGCTCAGGACAGCCTTGGGGGGAGCAGGGCGGCAGGAAGCTGAGCAAAGCCCCTGCTCTATGACTGAGACACTTTGTGCAGAAGCAAAGAAAGATGGTGACTTGAAGAGATTCCTGCTGTGCTCAAGGTTTGCCTCTGAAGACTGAGAGGTGAGCTTGTCAGGAATCCCAGAAAACATCAGGGAAATGGTTTTAGGTTTGTTGTTGTTATTAGGCACATGTCTCCAGTGGGAAAAGAGCCTCTGAAGCAGGCTGTGAGTCATAGAGTGACTTAGTTTTTAGTAGAGCATAGACTAGCAATTCAATGCATTTTATATTTTTATTCTAGAAGTGTAAAAATATTCTAAGTTTTTCTGAATACTAAAACTACTTTGAAAAATATAGAACTGTTGTGGGAAAAGGGACTAAATATTTGGAGAATTTTCTATGAAAAATATTCCTAAATCCTGCAAAATGAAAACTAAACACAGTAGCTGCTGGTCTCAGGTGCCCGAAGCCCAGCTGCTGCCTGCCCAGCACTGGCTGTGCCCAGACAAGCAGCTCCGCCAGTGCTGGTGGGAGCACCCAGGGACCAGAGCTGAAGCCCAAAGATGCTGCTGGAGTCAGGCCCTACCCTGGCAGGAGGGCTGCACCTCCTGTCCTGGCTGGACACCAGGGCCAGCACCTTTGGGGACAGAGGGTTCTGTTATGGGTGGTGGCAGCATGTCCCCAGCAGTAAGTGGGTAATGCAGCTGTGGAAGGCATGTTGGAAACTGGCTTGGGGAAGGCTGATGACAGGAACAGATCTGCATGGCTGAAGTCATCTGGTCTTGTGAAGCTGCAGAGGCGCTGCTGTGGAGAGAGGAGTGGCTGAGGCCCCAGCTGCCAGTGGCACACAGGGAGCCTCCTGCACAGCAGGGCCCAGAGCTGGCAGGGCTCCCCAGCACGGCTGGAGCGGCTGGCACACCTTGGCCCAGCTGGACAGCTGCCCCTCAAGGCCCCGGCGAGCAGGGGACGGCTCTGGGCAGGCTCCCTGGCCAGGAGCGGGCCCCAGAGCGCCTCTGCCTTTCAGGGGCGATCTCGTCCCCGCTCTTTCTCCTCCCCACCTTGCTGTGCCTCTGCCCTGTGCCCCTGGGGCTGCTTGTGCCCAGGCAGCCTCAGTGGGAGCCAGCACTAGCTGCAGCCCCAGCGGGCCCCCAGGACAAGGCCCAGCAATGAAGGGGCCAAGGAAAGCACTGGGCACAGCAGAACCTTCAGCCGAGTTCTTTGGACAGCCATGGACTGGCCACACCTCACTGGGAATCTTCCCTGACTACCAGCAGCCTTTAAAGGAAGCTGTTTGAGGTTGAGATCAGCAAAACACTCACCATTTTCTGTTCCAGCAATACCAGATTCCAACAGAGCAGATCATCAGGCCAAGTGCTGCACCAGCCACAATGGCCATCATCTTCATCAAACAAGATGTTCCCCAGCAGAAATCTCTTCTCATGCTTTTCCAGATTTTGTCAGCACGTGTTGAGGTTCCAGCTGCATCTGTGGGAGCATTTGGGAGTGTGAGCCATTGCCATGCTGCACTGCTGAGCTGGCAGCACAGTGGATACGGCCAGGCCTGCAGGCACCTTGCCGCCCCTTGGCACAGAACTGCCCAGTACCCAAAGCCCTGAGCCTGCATGCCGTAATTGCTCTGTGCTGTGCTGTTCTGCTCCCAGCAGTACGTGTCAAGGAGGTGGATAAAGACATGGAAAATGCCCAGAGTTTTGAAGCTGCCCCAGGGCCCTCCCTCCAGCAAACAGCTGCCTCTCTGCATCTCCCCAGAGAGCGGGAAATTGCAGGCATCTCAGGCCCATGGTGCAGTTTGGGCTCCCTGTCAGCTGGTGCCAAATGCCTTCCTGCAGAGGCTGGGGAGAAGCCGCAGCCAGGCCAGGCTGGGAAACAGCCCTGCGGGCCGTGAGAGCAGCAGCGGGGCAGCGAGGCTGCCATGGATCCCTTCCCGCTGTGCCGGGCAGGGCCTGTCTATATGTGCAGGGCAAGGCCCCGGCTGCTGAGTCCCAGGGGAAGGCTGAGGAAATGCACCCACCTTGTCCTGCCTCTTCGATTTCCTTCAGCATTTGCCACATGTGTTTGGATGGCTCATGGGGTTTCTTGTGTTCTGTAGCTTTGCTCTTTCTAATTGGGGGCCCTTAGAGCAATATAGTTCCATTTCTCAGAAATGAATCCACAAAACAAGTGCTCAGCCTGTGGGGTCAGCAGGAACACACGACTCACCCCTGCGATGGGAGCTGGGCTTGTTTGCAGTTGCCAGCAAAGGAGCCTGAAAAGTCCTCCCTGCAGCCACACCTGTAACTCAAGAGCCACAGAAGCATCTGTCATCTCTGTCCCCCCTGGCCGAGCTTTGGGCTCTGAGCTGGCAGCTCTCCCAGGGGGAAAGGCCTTGACCTACTCTCAGCATCTCTCAGAGGCTCATTCATGGACATGGTTTTAGAAACTGGATCGCTGTCATCAACAAGTTGAGCTGCAAAGAAAGGCAGGACAGAACAGCTCCTGTGACACTGTAGATCCTCAGGCTGCACCCAAGGCTCAGCCCTGGGGCACAGCCCTGGGCCCGGCCCCTTCCCTCTCTGCTCTTCTCTGGGGCTGCACAGAGCACAGGGAAGGACACGCTGGCATTCCACAGTGGAGGAAGATGGACAGCTAAACGCCTCTTCCTCTCACTGACAGTGATCCTGTGGGATCACTCATGGCTCTAGAAGGGAGCCAGACATTGTTTCCAGATTCCTTCTACCATGAGATTATGTTAAAGGAAATGGCTCCTGAGTGAGCTCTTGCCACACTGACACTGAATATTCTCTCAGGAAAGGCACAGGGAGAACTTGCCTCTAGCATTCTCCAATATTTTCCAGCCATCATCCAGCAGGGCATCCAGATAACGCAATTTACGATCCCAATCTGGAAGGGAGCACAGATTGGAACCATTTCCATGGTGTGCTGGGATCCCCTTCTGCCTCAGGGAACTGGGCACTGCAAGGGGATCAGTAAGGCTGTGGCAGCCCGGTGGCAATGGACAAGGCCAAAGCTATCACAGAGGCCTGAGGAGCTCAGAGCTGGCTCCTGGTCACTCTCCACCCTCTTTAAGGTCCTGTGCAACATCTCTGGAGAGAGAAAACAGGGACAGCCCCAGGACCCACGGGGGCTCTCTCCCTCCCACAGAGGAAACCCTCCCTAAAGCCCACGGGAAAACCATCCCCAGCGCTTCCCGGGGAGCAGGGAACGCTGTCCCGGGACAGGGCAGCCAGGCTGATGGCTCACCTGCTCCCTGCGCTTTCATCGGAGCAGCCTGGGCAGCCCTGGCAGGCAGGGCCACGGCCAGGAGGAGCAGGAGGAGGAGGCGCAGAGCAAGGGCCATGGTGCCCTGCCCTCTGCCAGTCCCACCACTCTTGCTGCCACCACTGTCCTGACACCGCTGTCCCAAAGTCAGCACCACTGCTGCCACCACTGCTGCCACCTCAGCAGTTGTGCTCAAGGACTGCCTGCTCGGGCGTTGTGGTGCTCTGGAACCACGGGGCTCTGGGACCTCTGTGACCTCAGAGCCTGCTGTGACCTCAGCCTGCTATCATCCCAGAGCCCTCTGTGACCTCATGGTCTTAGCTGTACCCCCAGAGTGTACCCCCTTCTGTACAAATGGACTGCCCTGACTGTAAATGTTTTGCTTCATCCAATGGCCATTGCTCAGAAAAACCTTCAGGGACACAGGGTCTTGTTTGGGTGGCGGCAGCATCGGCACAGCAAAAAGCTGGTAATGCAGCTGTGACAGACATCAGGCATGGGCATGGAGATGGGAAATGTCGGGCAGATGTGTCCCTGACTGAGTTGTTTGGCCGTTCCTGGAGTTCTTTGCCCCATTCAGAGAGGCAGCTGCTGAGAGATGAGGTAGCTGAGGCCCCAGTTGCAGCTGGGACACTGTCCTGGCGTGACTTTATGATGCTTGTATCCCCACTTGTCAGTTCAGCCCAGAAATAAGTTTTGCACTTTTAGGACTGGTTCCAAGAGTGAAGGGGCAGAGGGCAAGAAGAAGCGCAGAGTTTGTTGTCAGAAACTGCACTTGCTCCCCCACATCCTTCTCCTGGACTGTGTTTTCAGCGGACAGACAAGACAGCAGGATAGAGCTCTCCTTTGCTTTTTAGTTAGTATTTAGCTAGCTGAGGCAGAGAATTTCTCTGGACTGTGTTTTTTCTTTTTTCATGGAACTGTTTCAACCTGCTCTGGACTGAACACCCAGAAGAGCACCAGCAGCTCACACCTGTGGCCCACCAGGCTGGGCCTGGGCTGCGGCATTTCCAGGGCCAGAGGGACTGATAACACAATGAGTTTGCAGAGCCACAGCCCACAGAGGGGACATTCTGAGTTTGTCATTTCTTCTAAGCGGCGAGAAGTTTTATAGTTTAATAATTTTTTTTGTTTTTTTTTTTTTTTTTTTCCAGACAGTGAATGCTTTGCCTGTTAAATATAGAGTTTTTTTCCACTTTTCTCCAAAAAAATCTTTTTTCCAAACTACCTGGAGGCAGGCCTGCTGTTTTCTCGGGAACCCTTTGGAGGTCATCTCCCAGATTTGCCCTAAACCAAGATAAAGAGAGGAGACCTACCTGCACAGTAGGAGATTCCCACTGTGCTCAAAGTTTGCCTCTGAAGACTAAGAGGCGAGCTTGTCAGAAATCCTGGAAAACATCAGGCAAATGTTTTACGTTAGTTGTTATGACTAGGTACAAATCTGAAGTGGGAAAAGAGCCTCTCCAGCAGACTAGGTGCCCTGGGTTGTCTTAGCTCTTCCCAGAGTAAAGATTACCAATTAAATGCAACGCAAGTTTTTACTCTAGTAGTATAAAAATATTCTAAGTTTTTCTAAATTTTAAATCTACTTTGAAAAATCCTAAATACTATAGAAAAAGCGAAGAAATTTTTGGGGTTTTCTTTGTAAAAAAAAAAAAATCTAAATATTTCTAAAAATTTGTAAATTCTAAAACGAAAAGCAAAGCCAAAATGTGGTGTCTCAGGAGGCCCTGCCCAGCCGCTGCCTGCCCACCCCTGGCTGTGCCCAGACAAGCAGCTCCGCCAGTGCTGGTGGTAGCACCCACCGGAGCTGAAGCCCAAAGATGCTGCTCAAGCCCTTCCCTGGCAGGAGGGGCTCCTTTCAGTCCTGGCCAGACACCAGGGCCAGCACCTTCGGGGACAGGGGGTCCTGTTCTGGGTGGTGGCAGCGTGCCCCCAGCAACAAGCTGATAGTGCAGCTGTGGACGAGATCTTGGAAACTGGCTTGGGGATGGCTGATGCCCAAACCATTTACAGTCCAAAACCAACAGAAGTCCATTTGTTTAATGTTCATTGGTCTCAATTTGCAATGTTCTTAGTATTTCTTTTCCCACTGGACCTGGATTTCTTCACCTCTGATGTCAAGAAAGGCCATACTCCTTGATTTCCTTCTCAGGCTTTTCCAGTCCAGGTGTCTCCAACTATGCCAGGGGGCAGTGTCTGGGGTTGACATTCCTTGATGTTTGCAGATGATGGTCATAGATTTATCTCGATGGCCATGATGTTTTTAGGTACCTTTTGGGTTATTCCCAGTTTATTGAGATGTTAAGCTCATTTCCCTTGAGTGGTGTAACATCCCTTAAAAAACCCATTAGAATTCCTTTCCCCAAGGCAAAGGCAAACCAAGCCTGACTAGAGAAATGAAAAAAAATTAAACTTGGTAGATTATCCAACACACATGTGCAGTGCAAGCCCCCGGCTGCTGAGTCTCAGGAGAAGGCTGAGGGAAATGCACCCACTACGCCCCCTCTGCGACTCACTCGGCATCTGGTGCAGAAGTTTGGATGCCTGCAGGGGTTGCTTGTCTCCTCTGGGTCTGTTCTTCCTTCCCTCTGGGAGGGCCTTAATGGAAATCAGCTCCATTTCTCCTGCAGACCAGAGTGGCAGGGAGTCACTGCAGGCTGGTGATACTCTGATACAAGGAAACAGGTGTGCATACAAACCAGGCTGTGAAAAGCCAGTGTCCATAAAGGAGCCAGAGGAGCCCTGCAGCTTTGTTTGAATAAAGGGAGAGAGTCCATGGGGACATCTGCTGCTGGGCTTTTCTCTCTCAAAGTTTTGGAGGACACAGCCTCTATTTAAACTCCTGGCCACATGCTGCCCTCTTCCTTTCCCCACTGGCTGAGGTACCAGGCCAGGGGACTGCAGGGACCTTTGTACCCTCTTTTCCTTTTGCAAGGTATTACTTCTGGTCTCCATCCAAACTGTAATAGATAGAATATGAGATGATTGGCTCTTGCAATTAAGGGATGAATATTGTGTGTATCTTAAGAGAAGCTTTATTGATGTAGAGTTATGTTATTGTGATTTGTTGTTTAGATGTTCTCCGTTCTCCCCACAGTCCCCTTCCCCCTTTTATAAATGAAAATTAGTCCAGCCAAATTTAAAATGAAACAATGAAAAGTTATTCAGGATTGAATTCTCTCTGAGCAGGCCAAAAGGAAAAGGACAGCGCTGAGCCCAGGTTTGGCACTGGGTGCGTGACAGGAAGGAGCCTCTCGGCAGAGGTTCCCCTGGACACACACACCACCCTCCCGGACCCTGCAGTTCTTATAGGAAATTTTCTGCCCGAGGCCAGGATTTCAGTCACCTGCCTTTTCTCTCTATTCAGAGTCCCACATATTCATAAAGTTCTTTTCTCTCAGCCGGAGTTAAACAATCCAGGTCCAGGTGTGGACAATTTTTCCTGATGAGGTTATGGGAACCATGGCATTCAGATACATCAGCCCGGAGGACTCCAGCGATCCCAATCTTGAGTCGCTACCGGGATGATCAGCTCCCAGGTGTTCCAGTATCTCCTTTTGGGACAGCCCATCTCCAGGATAGCCACATGTATTAAATTGTAAATGAGGCATTGTCCAAAAAAAACCTGGCTCTGGTGTAAACAAATATGTGTGTGTGTGTGGGGCGGGGGGGCAGCTTACAGTGCTGGTATGTGTATTGTGTAATAACTAAATATTATACATGCCAAATCATATTTGCCTTGATTCAATACAACAATATTTCATTGGAGTAAATTATAATCATACATCTCACCCCCCACTCCCTATTGTTCCCACCAGACAGCCTGGGCTGTCTGGAAAGGTAGAAAGAAGGCATGTGTGGTATTCACATATCCTTTGAACAGTGAGAGACACAGGCTTTCCCAGGAACATCCTGGGGAAGGCTGTGAGAAAGCTCAGAGAAAGAAGAAAAACAATTATCTCCATTTGCTGCATCTGTTGTTTGGCACATGTGGAATGTGTTATGGAGATTGTTTACCAAAGAGGGATTTCTTCATTGGACTCTGGTGATGGTGTTTTGATTTCATTTGACCAACTGGAGCCACTCTGTGTTGGACTGTCTCTAAGGGTCACGGGTTTCTCTTCAGTATAGCAGTAGTATAGTTTTTAGTATAGTATAATATAGGACAGCTTAATAAAGCTTTTGTTCAGCCTTCTGCAAACATGGAGTCAATGCACGTCATTCCCTGCAGTGGGGGTCCACCACAATAGGTATCGACATATACCCCTTGCATGGGAGAGTAGGAATGGAAAAGCTTGTTGCTGGGGGGACACGGCATGACAACACCTGACCTTCAAACGCAGCTACAAGAAATAAATTCCACCAATAAACGGCAAAGAAGGGTTGACTGACAGACTTTGGGAGGGCCCAGGGGTGGCTGATGCACCCTCCAGGAATGTAAAAGGTGAAGCATCAATCTTGAAGATGAGGCAGCCACCTGGCAGGTAGCAGCCATGGGGCAGGGGGCCTTCCCAGGCCTGTTCTTCCTTATGAGTCCTTCTCTTATGTTTTTGTAAATGTCTAATAAACGTTTTAAAACTTTTAAAGTGTGCAGTTGTTTCTCACAAAACCCAGTCCTAAGGTGGGATGGTCGTGTTACTCCTGACAGGAATGGGCTCCCTGCAGTTCGAGCTGTTCTGCAGCCTGTGCTTTTCCATACCCTGCTTTGCTCTTCAGGTGGCAGATGGCTTGGGCAGGTCACTCCAGACACCTCGAGAGTGCCAGGGTAGGCCCAACCCCTAAAGCTCTCACAGAGCTGTGCTTGACTCCAAATTAGGTAAGCATGAAACGGATTTTAAAGACTGTAGCACGTCTGCAGTTTCAAGGGATAGTAAAGCCAGTGCTGCACTCTGAGAACTAAGTCCACAGTCTGAGTTGTTGATGTCATTTAACTAATTTGCAGCTCATTATTGTGATGATGATGATAGTAGCATAGAACATTTCCTTTTTTTTTTTCCTCCCCCAAATAAAAAGGTGCCATTCAGCTTCTGGAGAAGAGAACTCTCAAAGGTGCAGTTTGGCAGTCATGGAGGCAGAGGTGGGGGAGAGACAGATATGCCCTGGAGGGATGCTCTGGTGGGCTCCAGCATTTAAACAAGCTACTTTGATACATAGACTGGGCCATTTTCAATACTAAATGGCTGCATTAAATGGTTTTCCAGGCCTTATGCTGGCCAGAAAACTTTTAAAGCCCATGGGAGTTTAGCCTCCATGAGAAAGGCAGCATCAGTTCCTGTGCCAGGTGAGACATAGCGTTCAAAAGCTCAACTTGTGTTTAGAGAAGCCACCAGCCTAATGTAAGCAAGGCCAGAAAGCTTCTCCAGTCCTGCTGAGCGCGTGTGGCAGAGCTGTTGTGTTTTACAGCAGCTCCATGGCAGCACAGCAGCTGCAGCAGAGGGCTCAGGACAGCCTTGGGGGGAGCAGGGCGGCAGGAAGCTGAGCAAAGCCCCTGCTCTATGACTGAGGCACTTTGTGCAGAAGCAAACAAAGATGGTGACTTGAAGAGATTCCTGCTGTGCTCAAGGTTTGCCTCTGAAGACTGAGAGGTGAGCTTGTCAGGAATCCCAGAAAACATCAGGGAAAAGGTTTTAGGTTAGTTGTTGTGATTAGGCACAAGTCTCCGGTGGGAAAAGAGCCTCTGAAGCAGGCTGTGAGTCATAGAGTGACTTAGTTTTTAGTAGAGCATAGACTAGCAATTCAATGCATTTTATATTTTTATTCTAGAAGTGTAAAAATATTCTAAGTTTTTCTGAATACTAAAACTACTTTGAAAAATATAGAACTGTTGTGGGAAAAGGGACAAAATATTTGGAGAATTTTCTATGAAAAATATTCCTAAATCCTGCAAAATGAAAACTAAACACAGTAGCTGCTGGTCTCAGGTGCCCGAAGCCCAGCTGCTGCCTGCCCAGCACTGGCTGTGCCCAGACAAGCAGCTCTGCCAGTGCTGGTGGGAGCACCCAGGGACCAGAGCTGAAGCCCAAAGATGCTGCTGGAGTCAGGCCCTACCCTGGCAGGAGGGCTGCACCTCCTGTCCTGGCTGGACACCAGGGCCAGCACCTTTGGGGACAGAGGGTTCTGTTATGGGTGGTGGCAGCATGTCCCCAGCAGTAAGTGGGTAATGCAGCTGTGGAAGGCATGTTGGAAACTGGCTTGGGGAAGGCTGATGACAGGAACAGATCTGCATGGCTGAAGTCATCTGGTCTTGTGAAGCTGCAGAGGCGCTGCTGTGGAGAGAGGAGTGGCTGAGGCCCCAGCTGCCAGCGGCACACAGGGAGCCTCCTGCACAGCAGGGCCCAGAGCTGGCAGGGCTCCCCAGCACGGCTGGAGCGGCTGGCACACCTTGGCCCAGCTGGACAGCTGCCCCTCAAGGCCCCGGCGAGCAGGGGACGGCTCTGGGCAGGCTCCCTGGCCAGGAGCGGGCCCCAGAGCGCCTCTGCCTTTCAGGGGCGATCTCGTCCCCGCTCTTTCTCCTCCCCACCTTGCTGTGCCTCTGCCCTGTGCCCCTGGGGCTGCTCGTGCCCAGGCAGCCTCAGTGGGAGCCAGCACTGGCTGCAGCCCCAGCGGGCCCCAGGACAAGGCCCAGCAATGAAGGGGCCAAGGAAAGCACTGGGCACAGCAGAACCCTCAGCTGAGTTCTTTGGACAGCCATGGACTGGCCACAGCTCCACTGCAGCCTGACTGGAAATGTTTCCCATCTACATTAGACTTTTAAAAGAAACTGTTTGAGGGAAAGATGATGAAAACACTCACCGTTTTCTCTTGCAGTAACACCAGATTCCAACACAGGTGAACATGAAGGAAAGCTCCAAAAAAAGCAGACCTGCAATTAACTGTAGCAAACAGTGTGTTTCCCAATAGCAACCACTTCTGAGGCTGTTCTGGGCATCGGGAACAGGTGTTGTGGGGCCGGCAGCATCTGTGGGAGCAATGGGGAGCGTGAGCCCGCGCTGTGCTGCACTGCTGAGCTGGCAGCACGGTGGATGCGGCCAGGACGTTCTCTGTTTGCCCCAGAGCTGGGGCCTGCAGGCACCTTGCCACCCCTTGGCACAGGCTGTGCCACCCAACAAAGCCCAGCAGGCCGGCAGGAGAGCCCGGGGCCAGCACAGCTGCTTGGGCCGTCACTGCTTGGAGGGACAGGGACCAAACCCATCCCTGAGCAGCCCCTGCCAGCCCTGGCCCTCCCTGCCCCGCGACAGCTCCCCCAGCCCCAGGGGACAGAGCCAGGCCCTGTCAGGACCCAGTGCAGCCCCGGCCCAGTCGGGAGCCAGGGCTGGCTCTGGCCCTGGGCTCAGAGCAGGGCTCCCGCTCGGGGCTGCTCCTGTGCCTGGGGCCTCTGGGCACTCAGGGCCGGCTGCGGGAGCAGCTGCAGAGGGAGGGACATAGTTGGTGCACGAGTCCCGATTCCCCGGGGCTGTGAACGAGCTCCAGAGGCCTGGAAGCCCAGGCACCTCCAGCTTTGGCTGCTGCTGGGCCGTGCAAGGGCAGGGCCTGGGGGAAGAGCTGCTGCCACACAGCCCCGCCGAGGACTGAGCCCAGCTGAGCCCGGCACAGCAATCACCTCCTGTGCCTGTGGCCGTGCCTGGCATCGCCTTCCTTCCTGCAGCAGAGGTTGGCACTGAGCCACTGCTTCCTCCGGGATGTGCCTCCTTCTGCAGAGATGTTTGGTCCATTTCTTGAGAAAGGAAAAGAGACAGCTGGATCAGATGGAACCATCCGCCATTGAGGGAGGTGGCATCTTCAGGAGGCAATGCTTTTCAAATCATGGTTAAGGACCAGAAAAACATCTGGGTTTTGGGACTGGGCCATGGCCCTCCCTCCTTCAAGCACCTGCCAGGCCTGGGCAGAAGTCATAAGGGGATGGCCCAGGGCGAGGGCACACCCGTGCATGGTTCTGTCCTGGCACCTGCAGCGGTGCCCCCCTGGCCGAGCTTTGGGCTCTGAGCTGGCAGCTCTCGCAGGGGGAAAGGCCTTGACCTACCCTCAGCATCTCCCAGAGCCTCCATCCTGAACGTGGGTTGGGAAGCCAGATCACTTTCACCAGCAGGGTTATCTGCAAAGAAAGGCAGGGCAGAACAGCTCCTGTGACACTGTAGGAGATCCTCAGGCTGCACCCAAGGCTCAGCGCCAGGACACAGCCCTGGGCTCGGCCCCTTCCCTCTCTGCTCTTCTCTGGGGCTGCACAGAGCACACGGAAGGACACTCTGGCATTGCACACAGGAATAAAACTGACAGCTAAATGCTCCTTCCTCCCACTGACACTCATCCTGTGGGATCACTCAGGATTTGAGAAGGGAGCAGGGCAGGGTTTCCCAATCTCAACAGCCTTCAGACTCTTAAGGGAATGGCACATGATTGAGCTCTTGCAACATGGACTTTGATTGTTCTCTCAGGAAAAGAGACATTGAGAACTTGCTTCCAAAATTCTCCAAGGATTTCAAACTCTCTTGTGCTAGGCCTTCCAGATAAGCCATGTCACGATCCCAGTCTAGACAGAAGCACAGATCAGAAGCATTTCCATGCTGTTCTGGGATCTCCTTCTGCCTTTGGCAACTGGGCACTGCAAGGGGGTCAGGTAAGACAGTGGGAGCCAGATGTGAATGTCCATGAAAGCTGCACAGAGGCCTGGAGAGCCCTAGAGTGGCTCCTGGTCACTCTCCACCCTTTTTGCAGGCCCTGTGCAACATCCCTGGATGGGGTTGCTGAACCTGCCCGGGGCCCATGGTGGTTCTCTGACTCCGACAGAGGAAACCCCCACTAATTTCCTGAGGAAATGTGCAGCATGCAGTGCCACAACTATTCCTTCTTGCCTATCTCTGCTTGGTCAGCTCAGACCAGCCAAGGAACAGTCAGACCCTCTCACACAGGTCAGGCCCTTGGGGAAGAGCTTCTGCCACACAGCCTCACCAAGGGCTGAGGCCAGCACTCAGTTACCTCCTGGGCCTGTGCCCATGCCTGGAATTGCCTCCCTTCCTTCAGGAAATGCTGCCTTCCATAGAGAGTCTCTGTCCATCCCTTGAGAAAGGAAGAGGCACAGCTGGATCAGATGGAACCACACATCAGGGGGGTGGAAATTTCAGGAGGCAATACTTCTCAAAGACATGGATAAGGATCAGGAAAAGGCCCAGGCTCTTGGGGCTATGACAGGGCTCTCTCTTTTCCAAACCGCCACCCCTCCTGATCTGCCTGGGGACTGGGAATTTGCAGGGGACATCAGGGTGTGCATGGCCCGTGGTGCAGTTGGGGCTCCCTGTCAGCTGGTGCCAAATGCCTTCCTGCAGAGGCTGGGGAGAAGCTGCAGCCAGGCCAGGCTGGGAAACAGCCCTGCAGGCCGTGAGAGCAGCAGCGGGGCAGCGAGGCTGCCATGGATCCCTTCCCGCTGTGCCGGGCACGGCCTGTCCAGATGTGCAGGGAAAGCCCCATCTGCTGAGTCCCAGGGGAAGGCTGAGGGAAATGCACCCACCTTGTCCTGCCTGTTCCATTTCCTTCAGCATTTTCCACATGACTTCAAATGGTTTCTGGGATTTCTTGTCTGCCATCTGGTTGGTGTTTCCTATTGGAGGATCTTAACAGAAAGCTGTTCCATTTCCCAGGAATGGATCCCACAAAACCATTGCTCAGCCTGTGGGTTCAGCAGGGACACACTACTCACCCCTGTGATGGGAGCTGGGTTGGTGCGCATCATCCATCCCAGGAGCTGGAGAGATCCTCTCTGCAGACACGCCTGTAACTGAACAGGCACAGGAGCTTCTGTCACCTGGTTCCTTCCAGATGGTCAATGATTATGAGACACTGAGAACATACCTGCAGGATGCCCAGAGGGCTTCAAAGCATCATACCGCCAGGCTAATGGAGAAGCCTTTGGGGCATCCCCATCTAGAAGCAAACCAAGATGAGAAGGTTTCCATTGTGTGCCAGGGCTGGCTCTGGCCCTGGGCTCACAGCAGGGCTCCCGCTCGGGGCTGCTCCTGTGCCTGGGGCCTCTGGGCACTCAGGGCCGGCTGCGGGAGCAGCTGCAGAGGGAGGGACATAGTTGGTGCACGAGTCCCGATTCCCCGGGGCTGTGAATGAGCTCCAGAGGCCTGGAAGCCCAGGCACCTCCAGCTTTGGCTGCTGCTGGGCCGTGCAAGGGCAGGGCCTGGGGGAAGAGCTGCTGCCACACAGCCCCGCCGAGGGCTGAGCCCGGCACAGCAATCACCTCCTGTGCCCATGCCTGTGTCCGTGCTTGGCATCGCCTTCCTTCCTGCAGCAGAGGCTGGCACTGACCCACTGCCTCCTCCAGGAAGGGCCTCTTTCTGCACAGGCATTTGGTCAATTACTTGAAAAAGGAAGAGGAACAGCTGGATCAGATGGAAACATTCCCCACTGGACAGGTGGCATCTTCAGGAGGCAATGCTTGTGAAAGTCACAGGTAAAGATCAGGAGAATGCCCAGGCTATTGGGGCTGGGCCAGAGCACTCCCTTGTGAAAACAGCTGCACCTCCTGATCTGCTCAGAGACTGGGAAATTGCAGAGGATCTCAGACCCGTCCACAGCTGCTCTGGGCACCCTGTGCCAGGGCCTCCCCCCGCTCACAGGGAACAATTCCTGCCCAATATCCCATGTGGCCCTGCCCTGCGTTGGGTTGAAACCACTCCTGGTGTCCTGTCACTCCAGGCCCTTGCCCAAAGTCCCTCTCCAACAAGCCTGTCAGTCCATTCAGTGTGAATGCAGATAAATGTCAAGTTGAGTATTTCCTGCTGAAAATCCAGTTATGAAGATTCATTTTACAACAGAAATTACAAAGTAAAGAAAATATGTAATCTTCACTGTCCTGTCCTCCCTGTGTTCGTGCTCCCCAGCAGAGATCAGGGCTCCCCACTCCCATGGTGTGGCAGCTGCTTGTGGCACGTATCCCCACATGGTGTTTGTACTTCACCACTTCCTCAGCACACACCTTTCTTGGAAAACAGAATATTCCATTAATTTTTCAATGGCTGAAGTTTTCCCATGACCAGACCCCAAGGATTATTCAGGACTACATTTGTGTGAAAAGGTACCACCAGCTGTAAGTGTAGAAAGAGCTTGTGGTGCTTTGGATCAGGAATAAATAATAGGATTAAGAATAGACCAAAATACAAAGACCAGTATTGGAAGAAGTGCTTTAATTGATTGAGATAAAACCTTGAAAGAGTGAATTAGAAACATAGTAAGTCAATAGCCATTGTTAATTCTTGTGGTTTATTTTACAGGGTGATGCTGCCAGCATTATTGGCTTGAGGAGAAGTAGCTCAATGTAGTGAGGATGATGTTGATTTCCAGCAAGTGTGTAGCAACAGAGGGATTCCAGAAGACGTGAATAAAACAGAAGGGAAGAGGTTTGAAACAGAAAAGCATTAAATACTGACAGTACTTTAGTAAGGAGTTTGGAGAATCGTGGAATTTAATGTGTATATGAAATAAAAATTACTAATGAAATAGTGCAGTCCATGTGGGGTAGGGATAAAATGAAAGGAAGATTGTTCAGGTGAGTGCTAGAAGAGGCTTGTGCATGTGTGTGCTAATCAAAGCTCCCTTCCTCTCGCCCTCTCTTCCTCCTTCCTTCCCCTCAAGCGTGCATCTGTAAGATTTTCAATGTTAACCACCACTTCAGTTGATAAACACAATTACTATTAATAAAACTGACTTTAGAAGGAATACTTCCCATGAGAATAAAGGACAAAATGGTAGAGGCATCTGTAGTGTAGTCTCAATATCAGACACCTTAACCATGAAAGGTATTTTTTCTGTACAAGCTGTAAGAGTTCAGAGCAAAAACTTCTGTGATGAGTGTGTGCCAAGGAAACAAGGTGATTCTTGGTAGTTATTGTTCTTTCCTGGCTGTATTAGAACACTACTGTAACAATTACTTGTACTAAATACAAAGTTATCTGCTTCTTGAAGGAGAAAAGTGGAATGAGTGAGTATTGAGCAAATGGAGAACAGACATAAGCAGATCATAGTATCATTTGAGCTTTACTGGCTAGAATACTGGCAAAAAAAAAGGGCAAGAACTTTGTTCCTGGATAAAATTAATGCCTGAGAAAAGTGGGAGGTTTGCTCAGTGAATAGCTTCATCAAATTAAAAAATAATACAAGTAATGATACTGTAATTTTTCTTCAATGATAACCAAGTATTTCTCTGTCATTAGAAATGACAAGCAACAGTGATGACATATGAATTTACAAAGAATGCCATTGCCATGGAATATTAGCTGAAGACATCCCTTGATTACAAAAAAAGCTTTGTGAAGGAAAAAAGTTAAATGAGCCTTACAGTCTAAAACAGAAAACAAGCATAAATGTGAGTGAAAGCTGCTCGTGCAGAACTTGAGCAAGTCATTATATGCAGTTCCTCTAATCTTTGGCACTACAATTAATAACAGTTTTGATTACATATCTCACTTACCAATAAATCACCTGGCCACTAACAGGAATAATTGTATCAACATATCAATGCCTTGATTGATTTCTGCTGTTTGTTGCCATCACAAAGTGCTGATGTTGTTTGGGTTATGACAACCTGCACTGACTGCCAGATGCATTCACCTAGGTAAATATGTGTGTGTGTGTCAAACAAATCTGTGCCTGTGTTAGAAGATCACAGGCCAAAGGAAAATAGATGCTTTGTGTAAACCAGTTGCTTCTAAAAGTAGATTTTTCTCTTCAGGTTAAAGTATTATTTCAGTGGCAGTCAATGTGTATAATGCACAGATTTTCTCCTCTACTGCTTAAAAATATCAGTAAATTATCTAAAATGTGATACTGTTGAGTTTGGCAAGGTGAAGTAAATTTAAATTTACAGGACACAAAGCCAAACATCTGTGAGCTGGAGCAGGTTGTGAAAAATTGTTGCCAATCCCGTGGTGCTGTGAGGTTGGCCTGGTGCTAACTCTAATTGCCATTGCCTTGTGCTGCATGGGAAAGGTCTTCCAGTGTGGAGATGACCAAAGAAATCTTGGCAGCTTTAAGGCCCCTGTTACTATAGATGTTGAAAATGTGCTTTCCCCCTGCCATCCCAAATGGTTCTGTTTAAACAGTGGGAAGCAGATTTAATGCACTGAGGTAGGCCAGAGTATGGGAAGCTCTCTGCAATCCCATTGTTTTACTTCTGCTCTGTGCTTGTTTTAGCTGTGCTGTGAGCTCTGTATGAGCTCTGCACATCATTTTATCTGTGCTGGGATGCAGGGGTGCTCTGCACATCATTTTATCTGTGCTGGGATGCAGGGGTGCTGCTGGAACGTTCACTGTGGAAATGGGCACTGGGCAGGAAGAAAGTGGCCTGTGGTGTCTGCTTGTGTGAGCACAAGGACTTGATTTAAAAGTTATCTGAGGCTGTATTAGTGGTACAGACAAAACAGGAGTGGTCTCACTTAACTAGTTGTTTACACCACACACATAAAATGTTCATTTCCTCACGCTCACTGGCACAAGGCACTGGGCAATGATAAGACTGTTAGTATAAATATTTTTCTTTCAAAGCATTTTAATGCCCTTAAGTAAATTGATTTGAGATACAGGATTAATCTGCAGTCTAAGCACTCAGAAGTTAGTTAGATACTCCACTTAAAGGCATCCTCTGACTTCTTTACAGAGGAAATTGCAAACTGGAAGTCTTAGTCTTTTGGTTTTAATTTGATTTCTGGATGTCCCCTTCTTTGAGCTGCTGAGAACAGGCAGTCATGCTGTAGCTTTGGTTCTAGAGTGTTTTAAAGGGGATTGTTTCATCTCTCACTGTAGCATAAATCTACAGCTGAAAAGAAGCACTAAGTGATATAATCACACACCTTGATTATATTTTATCTGTTTTATCTGATCTTGCTCCTATTGAAATCACCAAACTGTCTTTGAATTAAAGTGGATTAGAAATTGAAAATAAATTCTGTCTAAAATTGTGTGTATATATAGAAATCTTAGAGATTGAAAGTTATCCTGTTGGTGTGCTGCTTCTTAGAAGCAATATTGCAATGTCGACAGTGCAGTTTAAATTGAGGTATGCGTTTGTGGCAAGGATGAGTGAGCTCCCACATCTGTGTTTTAAACCTAAAATAATGACAGTAATGTAATCAAAGTTCTGATTTTTTATAGAAGGTTTCCTGAGGCTGTCTGTCAGAAACCTATTAAATCTGAAAAAGAAACAAAACCATACCCTGCTAAGGCTGATGTAAATTTTTCATAAAAAATCCAGAATTCCATTGAATCTCTCTCTTATTCTTGACTGAGACTAGCACAGACTTTGTGAGCTTTTCCATGTTTCTTTCCTTGTGCTTATTTTTCAGCATTTAAAGAGGAGAATGTACTGGAAGACCCTAAAGCTGTTAATGGCTTTTTTTCTCCCCTCTCTTTCTCTGTGCTGTTTTTAAAACCATCCACTGGGGCTATTCCTGCTGGGGCCTTTTGTATTTAAATCTTTAACTTTCCTGATGTGAAGACTCACTTTTCTTAACAAACTGACTTTTTAAATGTATGGATTTGTTTAAAAAAAATATTCAAGAGGAGCAATCTGAAGTTTTTTAAAAATTCTATTACCTTAATTCCTAGCTACAGTGTGTACTTAATGATGGGACTAGTGGCATTGATGCACATGTCTTCTAGTTAGCTGACCCATGACCCTTCATGTGTTACTTTTATTCTAGCCTGGAATACATTTTAACCTTCAAAGTGTCTGATATGCTCATTACAGAAAATTGTGCTATTCTTTTAAGTTTCTCTCATTTTTTTTAGGGAGAAGACTCCATTAGCAGGAGTGTCTGTAAATAAATAATCAATGTTTGTAAACAGTCTTCTATTTGCTCAGTTGTGGCTTCTAATTTAAAAGATATCTTAATCTTAACTGATTAAGATATCTTAATCTTAAAAGATATCTTAACTGAAATCCATTTTACAGTTGGTTGCTCATATTAATTCCAGAAAACGATTTAAAAAAAAAAATTACATCCTGTTGGGTGACTCCTACTTCATATGGCTCTGACTTGCTGCTCATGACATCTCAAACACACTAAAAGGAGCGTCCACTCTAGTCACAGGCAAAGTTCTCAGAGGTTCTTTGTGCTGACATCTCAGGTTTGTGAAGGTAGGACTGGATGCTGACCTTTCCCAAATTATTAAAACTCTCCGCTGTGTTCTTTCTGTTAAAATAAGAAGTTAGTTGACTGGCCATGAGCACACCAGCTCTGCTTCCCCTTATTCTTACCTGTCTTGCAAAGGCCTCAAGCTTGGGACTCGTTAGTCTTATCTTCTGTACCCTGAGGTGTGTTGACAGCATCCCATATCCCCTGCAGGAAAGGGAAGCTGGATTGGTAATGAATCACTGGTTTTCTTTCACAGGCAGTTATTTAACCCAGGTGTTTCAGGGTGAGGAGAATTCAAGGAGTGTTCAGTGACCTTCACACTCACCCTGGTTTAGTGCTGGCAGAACAGTCTGTGCTTCCAGTGGGCCCTGCCTGGTCACACCCCAGTGGTGACACAGCCACCTGAGTTTGCTGTGTGTGATACTTTTGGACAGTCTTTCTCCTGCAGGTGGAATGCTTTTTCTGCGTCAGGAATGTTCCATATGTGTAACTGAAGAGGATTTTTTGTTTGCCTTTACTCCCTGGTCCATTACTTTATTTTCCTCCCTGTGCACGTGTGAAGGGATCCCCTCATGTCCTGTTTGTCCTGAGCATGGCCCAAAGGGCTTTGACAGCCCCACAGACACAGCTGTGGTCACTGGTAGTGCTGCAGAGTGTGAAATCACAATCCTGGAGCCAGCAGAGCTTACAGCCCACTGAGGGGCACCACATAGAGCCAAAGGATGGGCCATGTTCAGCTGGGTGAGGTGAAATTAATGCTGAAGGCAAAGCAGCAGGGCAGTGCTGGAAGCAGAAATAAATCTGGGGCTCCCAGCCGCGGCATGGCTGAGCAGCTCCTGCCTCCCCCTGCCTCTGCTCTGGGCTCACACAACGCCTGCCACAGGAGCCCCTGGCCCGGCTGTGGGAGGGTGGCCTTGCCCTCACCTGGCTCCCTGGCACCAGGGCCCTCCTGCTTGCTGTCGCACATGGCAGCCGTCAGCAGTGAGTCCCTGTCCAGAAACGTCACAGTCTCCTCCAGGTGCTGGTCCTCTCTCTCTGTGGGAGAAAGAAGAGTATGGGGAGTTTGCAGAACCCCTTTTATCTAGTTTCTGTGTTTAATGAATTTGAGATACACAAGCGTTTAGAAGTGTTATATTTAGTTTGCAATTGGTTGCCTGACAACGCAGATCAATCTTGTCCTTCCCCACCAGAGATATGGGGAATGCTCTTGCTAGTCTTAAGGATACTTATGCACTTACACTCAGAAAAGGGCTCTGTCAGCAGCATTTTATAGATTTCAATCTAGTATTTTTGGGTACCTTGTTAAGGTGTAGTTATTACTTTATTAATAAAAATTCAGATTTCAAAATGGAGCATTCAAATGTTGGGGAACAGCAGGTTTGCACCTGTGCTTGCCGTTACAGAACAAGGAGGGAACCCTGTAGAAAATAAATCTACAGTTGTACAAGTGAAGGCTATTAAAGCTTGGGAATGTATAGAGAGAACTGACCCTGTTCAGGGAGGTTCTGGCCTGGTGTTCCTTAACTTGAAAGCTTGGTTTAGCTTGATTTTGATATTAATTCAGTCTCTCAACAGAATATTGCTCTTCATTTTCGCACACAAATAAAACAAAGGTGAAAAATGCTGTCTTCTGTAAAGTATTGTAAAGCCCTTCCCCATCAAGACATTCAGGTCTTGTGCCTTGAACATGCAGTGTCTGCTTGTGTGAGCACAAGGACTTGATTTAAAAGTTATCTGAGGCTGTATTGGTGGTACAGACAAAATAGGAGTGGTCTCACTTAACTTCTTAGTCTTCCAAAAGGGCACCAAGAAGGAGCCAGGAAACTGCAGGCCTATCAGCCTCACCCCATCCCCAGAAAGGTGACAGAATAGCTCCTCTTGGATGTCATCTCTAAGCCTGTGGAATAACAGAAAGGGAAAACTGTGAACAGGCTTAGCAGCTGCTCTGCAGGGCAAACAACTGAGTTAGCAGAAGAAGAAATTAATAAAGTATGAGTTTATCCATGGCAAGGAAGAAAGCGAGGCTGTTAGCATGGGAACTGATAAACACATCGGGGTTACTTGTAGTCAGAGGATACGTGCCTTAGGGAGCAGCATGCGTGCCTTCATAGTTTGTGGTAAACACATTTGCAACGAATTGTTGACATTCAATGCTTTGTACCAATAAAATACAATAAGCTATTGCTTTGTCCATTGAATATCCTGAGCTTTTTTGATGTAACTAATGACTTAAGATCACACTTTCCTTGGGGTATAAAAACTTGAGAACAACTTGTAATAAAGAAGAAGCCATTGCTGTCACTGCACAGGTGTATGTGTATGCCTTGTGTCCATCTCTACAGTGACAGAAAACCATGCTTGACCAATCTCACAGCCACCTCTGCTGCACTGACTGGTTGGGTTTGTGAGGGGAGAGCAGTGGCTGTTTGTTGGAGCTTACTTTAGGTTGGGGTGGTTTTGCGTGGTGGAAAAACTTTTCTTTTAATTTGTGCTTTTAAAGAAAGGCTTAGAAGTTTTTTGTTGTTTGGTTTCAAGGTAGTTGATTGTAAGTTATTTAAAAGATTGTCTTCTTGGGTAGTTGTGGTTTGCTTAGTAGCTTAGGTAAAGGCACATACATACTTTGATATCTTTTTTGACTTTAGTTTTTTTCTTCTCTTCCCCCGCCCAGGGTTGGTGTTATTTTTTATACGGTACATTATGTGTTAAGTGTTTATAGTTTTTCTTTAATGCTTATTACGTCTATTAAATGGTGCTTTTTTACCCTAAATTAATTTGTGAGTGTTAACATTACTAAGAATATGGAGGTAAGGAAGAAGAAAGAGGGAGGACAGGATAGGCCTAAATCTCTTTATCTTAAAACTTTTGATTTTTATGTATAAAACTAAACCCTCCCCTGTATAAGACTTAAAATCTTCTTGTATAGCACTTAAAAATTTTTCTTTTTACTTTGTGACTAATTTTACTATTATATTTAAACTTTTGCAACTTTTTGTTCTTTTTGTAAGGTTGGTAAATTTTTCTATGGTTCAAATCTAAAATTACAGCTGTTTTTAGTTGCCTGCTAGGGTCTTAAATGCGTCTGACTTGGACTGGGAACATCTAAAAATGTCTGAGGGACATTTTGAGTTCTGACAGCTGTTGTCAGCCGGGACTTCAGCAAGGCTTTGTCCTGGCCTCCCATATCACGGTCATGGAGCAGCTCAGGGACAGTGGCGTAGAGAAGTGGACAGTGGAGCTCCAAACTCAGAGAGCTGTGAGCTCAGGGGGCCGTGCTGGTGTCAGCCTTGTTTGCCCTATTCCCCAGTGACCTGACAGAAGGGACGGAGCGCTCCCTCAGCAGGTTTGCTGATGGGACGGAAACAGGAGCAGAGGCTGATAAACCACACGGCTGTGCTGCCCTTCAGTGAGACCTGGGCATGCTTGAGAGTTGAGGAGAGAGAGACCTAGTGAAGTTGCACAGAGGAAAGCTTCTAGAAGAGTTTGAAGGTTTGTAATTACCAGGCAACAGAAGTTCTTTAATATAGAGGCGTGTATAACGTCATTTTGTGATGTCCACTCAGGGAAACGACTGCACCTCTGTATGTTACAGGAGCAGTTCCTTGTATGTATGTAAAAAAGTCTTTGAGACAAACTGTGAATTCAGAAACTTCCCCTAATATTATGTTGGATTTTCACAATTTTCTGGACTGCCTGGTGAAGCATAAGGATTTCAAAAAGAAAGTGAAAGCAAACCAATAAATCCTGTTTTAGAGATCAGAAGCATTTCCTGTTTGTTCCTTGAAGAAGTTGCCAAATAACAAAACTTTTGAAATCCTTTCAAAGACCTAATAGGAAAAAGTATTGGCCAAGGTGTTAATCTGTGTTTCTGAATAGGAACATGCTTTTTGTTTCAATTCAAGGTTTGTAGCAGGGTTTGGGGTTTTTTGTGCGTGTCCTTTGAATGTGAGTTCCTTTTATGCAGGACTTTGAATGATTCGATCATGTACCCAAGAGAACATTTTACTGTGTCCTGCTGTCCAGTGCTGAACAGGGTTGAGACAGAGCAGGTGGCTCTGTGTCTGTGTGCAATGTGCAGGAGCAGCAGCAGAGCAGTGCCCAATGACTGCCTCGTGGCCTGGCATTTGGCCCTGCACTTGCTGCAGGAGTCCCTGCCCGGGTTCCCTGCTGGCCCAACCTTCGCACCCATCTCAGAACCTGGGTTCCCAAGGGGGCCGCCTCAAGTGGTTGCCAGGAACCTGAGGCCATGGCTGCCCCACTTTTGGCTGCACGATGCTGATGTCAGAGTGGCCATTGTGACCTGCGCAACCAAGGCCCCAAAAGGGAAGGCTGGGCTCAGGCCGTGTGTCAGTGCGACCTGACAACGGGAGGAGAAGGCAGGGCAGGGACGCTGCTGCCCAGGGACCAGAGGAGCCCCACAGCTCGGGGCTCTGGGCCTGTGCTGCAGGCTCCCCTGCCTCTCCCTGCCCAGAATCAGCGGAGGAACAGCCAGAGCAGACTGCGGTGTTCCTCGAGGCGACGACGGGAGGAGAAGGAGGACAGGAGCAGGGCTCACGCAGGGCTCAGCGGGGAGTAGTGCCCTCGTGGCTCTGGGCCTGTGCTGCAAACTCCCCACCCTCCTCTTTCTCCCACAGAGAGAGAGGACCAGCACCTGGAGGAGACTGTGACGTTTCTGGACAGGGACTCACTGCTGACGGCTGCCATGTGCGACAGCAAGCAGGAGGGCCCTGGTGCCAGGGAGCCAGGTGAGGGCAAGGCCACCCTCCCACAGCCGCGCCCAGGGGCTCCTGTGGCAGGCGTTGTGTGGGGCCCAGAGCAGAGGCAGGGGGAGGCAGGAGCTGCTCAGCCATGCCGTGGCTGGGAGCCTCCTTCCTCCCCAAGTGGGGCCCAGCTGGGCCAGGGGGCAGCTCTTGGGACACCCGTGCCCGCAATGGCCCCTGCTCTCCAAGGCCTCCAGCCCTGCCCATCAGCCAGGCAGGCCGGCAGGGACAGAGCAGCCCTTGGGGACGATGCTGCTGCAGCCAAAGAGCCCCGCAGAGGTGCTCATGCCCGCTGCCATTGGCTCTGTGCCCTGCAGTGTGCATGCTGTGTCGCCGTGCAGAGGCTGACCCCTGTGCTTCCCCAGGCCCTGCCAACAGCTCCTGTGCTGCTGCTGATGCGCTGCCCAGGGCACCCACAGGCACTGCTGGAGCCTCACACCCACCACAGCCAGCTGGGGTGAGACAGCTCTGCTGCTATGGGCTCGGCTCTGGGCAAAGCACCCGCATGTCCCTGGGCTGGGGGCAGTGCCCAGGTCGGGCTTGGCAGAGCCTGTCCGCTCCTGGAGGGCTGGGGGTTCTGCTCTCGTCCGGCCTGGCCCGGGTCTTGGAGGCGTTTGACATTCCTGCTTGCCCTTAGAGCCGCCAGGGATGAGCCGGAGCTCAATGGCCCCAGCCTGGCTGGACAGTCAGGACTGGAGCCTTCCCGTGGCTCCCCAACCTCCAAGACCATCAGACCCAGATTGTAAACACTGCCAAACAGGGTTTGCCAATTTTTTTTCCTCTTAGATCTTTGAAAGGCTTTTGGAAGTAACATTGTTTGGCAACTTCTTCCAGGAACAAACGTGGCATGTTTCTATTCAGTAAAGAGTTTATTGGTTTCCTTGCATTTCTATTTGGTGTCCCTATGCTTTCTTCAGCATTCCGGGAAATAATGAAAATCTAACAAATTCTTCAGAGAAGTTTCTGAATCCACTGTTAGGAGAAGTCTCTAAATTCACTCCTTCTCTTAAATACATCCTTTACATACAGTTAAGTAGCGGCTCCTGTAACATACAAAGATGTAGTGGTTTACCTGACTGGACACCACAACATGATGTTATACACACCGGTAGATTAAAACACTTCTGTTCCTGGGGAGTTGCAAAGTTGCAGGCTCTTCTTGAGGTCCTGAATTAATTCTGCATGCCCATTCATACCTGCATTTCCTCCCCGTGCTCAGCTTTCTCCTACAGTTCCCAGGGAACAGATGTTACATACTCACCTCAAGCAATAATCTACGTCGGTCTTCCCAACCCTTTTTCTTCACTGAACTCTACTGATCTACAAAATAACTTTGGGCCCTCTGTGAAAAAAAAAAAAAAAAAAAAAAGAACCAATTAATAGGCTTAAACACTTCTGATTGTGCTGCTGCTTCTAAAAATCATGGACAACACAGCAATAAAGTCAGGAGTCAATTCTTCACATCCTTCCTGTTCTCTTGCCCCCACCAGACGTTGTCTCCCTACAGATATGTTCCCTACTGTGGCCTGGTGTCCACAGGACAATGAAAGGCAGCAGCAGTTTTCCTCAGCATGCTGCAGTCTAAATTGCAGTGAAATAGCCGCTGTTTCATTAGAAGCTCAGCACCAGGATCACACATCTTCCCCCAGAATTGGGGCCTGCTAAGGACTGAGCTCTCCATTTTAACACCCCCTGCAAATCAGACCGCCTGGAAGAGTGCTGGGCACTAACTGTATGAACACAGCAATACATTTCTGCAGCATTATCGAGTCAGTCTTGAGAAACACACATCATTTAAGCCTGTCTTAAGACTCTATTCTACAAAACATATAACAAGCAATTGTTTTGCTGGCCTCTGCAATTTTTGGGGACTCTGTGTGTTTCCTTTGGTTGTTGTTTTCTTTGTTTCTAAATACAAAATCCCCTGGATTCAGAAGAGAAAAGCCCAGATTCATTAGGACAAAGAACCACAGGGACAAGAACACTCAACATTCCTAGTGGTAACACCAGAAAGACGGGAAAAAGTTAAACATTATATAAATACCTGAAAGGATCCAAAATGTCTAGGTAACCTGTCACGTGGCTAATGTTTTGGTAAGGTCTAAAAGTCTAGATTCCTGTTAGGCAATTATCTGAAAGAGAAGAAAGCCAGAAATCTGCTTGGCCTTTATTTTACCAGGGCTTTCTCACGGGATTCTACCACAATTTTGAGCACAAGTAAGGATGCCAAAATTTGACTAGGAAACATTCCTAAGCAGGCAGCATTTTTTCCTCCTCACGGAATTCCAGGAACAGTTTTAAAAAAATACAAAAGGGGGCGAAGAAATTCTGTCATACCTCTTAGGCATTCATCATCTTTGGAGAAGAAGAAAACTCTAGCACTTTCTGTGCGTGGTAAAGAAACAAACCTAGACAAGTACAAAGGGATTTTAGCACCCAAAATTGTGCTATCAAATGCCATGAAAGCAAGTTAAAACTGTAGTGCTTCAGAGAAATGGTATACATTGAAAAGCTTTATTCCCCAGTAACCAAATAGAGCCTTCTAGAAAAAAAATAAACAACTTCTTAACAGAAAATTGACTGTGTCTTTGGCTTCTGGCCAAACTCAGATTGGAGTTGGTCAAACCAAAATGAGCCAGTTAATTTCTTGTGCTCAACATCTCTCTTTTCATATTCAACTTCACATCACATGGGCTGCTGGGAGTTTTTACTCTGGGCAGCACAAATGGTTTTCCAAGATGACTTTCATTGCTCAGAGGTGTGCAATCTCAGTTTCCCATTCCCTGAGTGCTGCTATTAATATTCCCATAGCATCCAACTACTACAGCCAGGTAGAGAGCAAATAGAAACGGAACTTGCATTTCTTGGTCCTTTTCAGTTTCTCACGTCTCAGGCTCACCATCATTCTCAGAACTGCCGTCTTGGAAACGTGAATCCTCTTGCCATGTGACTTTTACCGGCTTTATTGTTCCGAGTCCGCGAGGCTCTGCAATAAGAGCAACAAAAAAGAAATCCACATCCAGATTATTGCTCCACTTATCAGGAAGGATTCCTCCTTTCAAGACAGATACTTACAGTGAAGAAGACAGATGTAGGAAGGACAGAATCTGCTTCTGCCAGATTTTCTGAGCTACATCTCTGCTCCAGGATTTTGCACTCTGTTCTCGGGATCTCTGCTGTATTCTAATGAATGTATCGTTGCATTCAGAAGACACTGAATACCTTCTGAATTCAGCACAAGTGTGGAGGGTCCTCGTTTTGCATTTTTGCATTGGTTTTTTAAAAATATTTTTGATAACTTCACACGGTTTCTTTTCTCTCTTACAGGACTGTGACTCGATTTAATGTTCTTTCGTCTTCTTTTCATAAGGCCTCATTTTATCTACAGTTAGAACATTCCAACGATCATGTGTCATTCAGTTTCCTTTTTCTAAAGGTCCAAGAATAGAATTCAGTAACAAGCAGAATGTTCATGGATCTTGCGGTCAACTCCAGGCTTTTGCTCCTCCCTCTACATTAACACACATTTCCTTTAAAATCTTGTTGGGTTCTCTGAAACTTGATATGACTGGTGTGTCACTGTTCTCCCTGTTTGAGAGATTCAGGGCATGACAACAAGCCTTTTCACCACTCAGCAAAAAAACCCATTTCCTTCTCAAAGCACGCCTTTCAGAATTCCTGAGATGCAAGCATGACTTACTGCTCATTAATCTACCACAGCTTTGGCAAGCAGAAATGAAGATCAAATTGCTTCTGCCTAATTACTGACTTCTGCTGCTGAAAATCCCCTGTGTCCTGACCTTCTTTACACCACAATGCTCTACAGTGCCTGCCAGAAGCTCTTCCTTAGAAATGGCACTGTGAGAAGCGTTCTGCTGTTACCTTCTTTGATGCCCAACTCCTCTGTGTCTCCAAAGAAGGCAAACTTGAACGCGCTTGACTCCTGAGCTGTGCCGTTCTTGGGCAAAGGTCCCAGATGGTCATCTGGGGCAGAGTCCTGTGCATCCTCTTTGTCCCAGGGTATTTCCACAGTCTTTTCTGGTTTGTTCTTTGAAGCTCCAAACAAATCTTTTAAGTCAGCAGCAATAAAGTAATGGATTTCTTCAGACACTTGAGGCAGTGTCCCGCTCTCTTCTTTCTTCTTTCTTTTGGCTTTACTGAAATGAGATTGTTCAAGGATAGCAAAACAGTGCACGACCTTTCCAAAGACAGCTTCCCTAAGACACACCTTGCTCTGAACATCTCCCTAACTGTATCCAAGCCCGTTAAGGAGAGGTTCACTCAAGAGTGAGCAGTGGGGAAACATCTCAGCTTGGAGTTGAAAGGCTGGAAGAAGAGTCCTTCTTAATCATTTAAGTGACTTTTCACTTAATACATGGTAAGACAGAAACCAAGGAATTTAGCACAAGACTACTTTCCTGCCAGTAGAAATGTCAAGACCGAACACGGTTTTCTCACAGACCTGCAAATCGTAAGGTCCCTGTACTGACCGTTCTCACCTTCACTTCCAGCAGTGAACTGATGGACTAGAAAGAAAAGTTGAGGCTACGTGCTGCTGTTGGAGGTCCCAGTTGAGGCCCAACGCTGCTGGCGGGAGCGATTGCTCCTGTGGGTCCTCCCTGATGGTGTCCCCGT